CCCGCAGGGCACACTCACACACCAACGCAGGGCACACACACACACCAACGCAGGGCACACTCACACACCAACGCAGGGCACACTCACACACCAACGCAGGGCACACTCACACACCAACGCAGGGCACACTCACACACCATCGCAGGGCACACTCACACACCATTCAGGCAAACATGCACATTGATGGGCAGTTTGGTGACTCCAATTAACCTCAGCATGTTTTTGGACTGTGGGGGGAAACCGGAGAACCTGGAGGAAACCCCACGACGACACAGGGAGAAGATGCAAACTCCACACACACGGAGCCATGGAGGAGACTCGAACCTTGGTCCCTGAGGTATCAGGCAACAGTGTTAACCAGTGTACCAGGTGCCGCCTCATAATAACAATAATAATAATAATAATAATAATAATAATAATAATAATACTGTAATAATTAAAATCCATACAGTACTGTACTGCACCTCGAGCTGAGTACCCAGTGAAGTCACACAGCGTTTTAGTGAGCGTCACTAAGTACTGTGTGCTTTTCGTATTACCAGCCAATGTTTCTAACTCAAACTGTTTATATAACAGACTTCATGGTAGTCCACTCGTAAGTAGGTTTTGTCCGTAAGTTGGACGTTCTTAACCCGTGGACTGCCTGTACTATATTATCTCTGTATATTGAAAACAAGTTTAACCTGCTAGGGGACTTGGAAACTACAGCAGGAGCAAAGAAACAGCCCGACTCAAGGGAAGCACCTTGAGAAATTTGTAAAGAAATGCCAAATTATAAGCGACGCCTTCTCACCCTCTTCTGTCTCCCCGCATTCCCCCCCCCCCAATGCTTAGAGTCCCATAAGAGACGCCTGCCTGCCCCAGACACACCAGCACAAACCTTAGAGATGTCCAACCAGAGCAGCAATGTGGAATGCAAGCAGACTCAGCAGGTGAGATATATACATATCTGTGTTCCTATGGACTTGTTGATCCCCCTGGACCAAAAGAACGTGCTCAGCAGGATAACAGATCATTTTTCCTCAGTAACAACAGCTTCAGTTTTGATCTATGGGTGTATGACAGGGATAAGCCAAAATCTGGACAGCAACATTAAAAAAGTTACAGTAAAGCCATTCCATTTAGAAGCTGGAGCAGACTTGGATCTGAAGCGTAAAAAATACATACCTATTTCAAATCGATAATTAATCGATAATTAATGAAAATTATAATGCATCAGTGGTGCTCATTCTGACTGCACTGACTTGGATAGAAAAGATCTTTCTAAAAACCTCATCTGTTCATAAACACAAGCTGAGTTTTTACAACCTCAAAACCTGCAATTTGGAGATTAAATATGCAAATCGACAAAAGTGATCAGTGACTCGTCTACAGTTTGTAGAACATGCAGGACACACAAGAGGACGTGGGATACCTCAGACTCCCAAATGTATGCCTGATTTAAAAACTGATCATTCAACCAAGTCATCCAGATAAAGACCATCATTTTTTCATAATTTGTTGGAATCACACGCTGGAACTGCAGACTCTGTAATAATGTAAAATATTATGCATGCTATACTATGCATTATACAGATGTTTCTCATAAATCAAATATATATAATTATCATCCTGTGACTATCAGGAAAGACACTTAACTCTTTGGTTAATGTCTACAGGGATAAAATTTGTTTGAAATTGTACACCGAGTCACTTTGGGTAAACTGGTCTTACTGAGTAACCATGACAATACGTTTAGTTCTCTTGCCGTTTACAGAAGCATGACGGTGTTGTTTAGACCCTCATATGCATGGTAAGAACAGTGTAAAAGGGAAGCCTCACCTATTTCATTCAGCAGGGGTGTTTTTGTAACATCCAGGTCCTGCATCATTTTGTCCACTGGGGCGGCGCTGTCGTAGTCTAAGGCATTGATGTCCCCATTCTCCACTCCGTTGTGCTCCTTCTGCACAGGTAGAGGCTGCAGTTCGCCGGACGCCGTCCTGTAAGTCACAGTCTTGGTCGCCCTGTCTCCTGCCTGCTTGCTGATCTTCCTGGGCTTCAGCATAGCCCCCGTGCCGCTCCTCTTCCTCCTCCGTGCCTCCCCCCGGCCTCGCACAGCCTCGCTCGGCCTGGCTTGCCGCGGCCGCTTGTCCCGCTGGAGATGCAGGTTGTTGAACTGGTCGATGAACTCCTCGCAGTGCAGTAGGTGGTGCTCTGGCTCCCAGGTATCCTCGTTGCTGCCGTAGCCCTTCCACCGGATCAGGTATTCCCACTTGCCCTTCTTGTTCCTGCGCTTGTCTACTATTCGCTCTACCTGAGGCGACACAATTGCAGGGAACACGACAGGGGGGCAGAGTCAGGACCACTGCTATGGGAGTTTATATTACTCCATAAAAGCAAATGGCCTGAGGAGAGCTTATCAACACTCTACACTTCCATAAATTTTAACAGGCTCTCCCAACCATCAACAGACTTAATAGATGTGTAAGCATGCTGGAGGGCCAAACAAGAGAGCACTTCATGCACATGAAGCCATTTAACAGTGGCCTCATTCCCAACATTAAGGCCAGCAAAACACCTGAACCAAATCAAAATATCATCATGCGGAGAGGCTGAACGATGCAATCAGGAAAGTAAAGAGAGACCGATACTTATTCACATTTCTACTCATATCATTTAATAAAAAGTCAAAGGACAACAATAAAGATCACAATCCTAAAATATCTTTGAATAGCTAATGTTACCGCATGGCTGACAAAACACATAAGCAAAATACAAGGATGAGTGCAGAAAGTAGCTACAAATGAGCAGCAAGCTAAGTAGCTAGAAAATGTAACATTATTAAAATTCACCAAAATATACTGAAGCTTGTGGATTTGCAGCATCTCTAAGGGAGGCTAATAAAAACGAACTTGATTTTTCAACTAGGCTGTTTCACAAGGCTGAATGACCTCATTAGCTGACTTAGATTAGCGAACATGTTGACAAGAGTGATAATCCTGTATGTGACTCCCGAGATCTTCTGTACTTTTCCTTAGGAGTACTTTCTTCCTGTAGGAAGAGAGAAAACTTTACAAAAAAAAAACCAAGAGGAGAAGCAGAAGACAAAAGCTTCTTGAGCCCCCAGGCCAGTAGGGGTCGATATACGAGGGGGGTGTAACGGGTTGAATCCGAACTCCCCATAAAATAAGAGCTCCTTAAGCCCCTTGAAATTTGCTGAAATCCAGGAAGTTCGGAAACCACACAGCATTCATATGTTTAAAGTACAGTACATATCTACAAAACATTTAATAAAAGTATTTCAATTAATTGACGAAAACCACCATAAATGGCTCTGTGCACTTCGATGTGACCAAGTGAGGTTCAAAATGCTTCCGAAGACAAGAAATCGGATAAATATTTCATCTCATCTTGTACCAGATTCAACAATTTAAAGATAACTAAATAAAGAGGGGGGGGATGAATGACTGACTTAAAGGGCAATCAGCAGTTCAGGAACAGCATGGCACCGGGGGGCAAAGTGCACGATTTTCACTGCTATTAACTACATCCGCAGCGGCCTGCTAACCAGTACAGGCCAAAGCAAATTACTTGGCTTGATGTACAGTAAGCTGCAATTTATTCCTCTAAACACGGTGAAACCCTTGTAATCCGAAGAGCACAAGCTCATATCAATCAAATTAGATTATCAGGCATTTAGCTGGATCTAACGACAGCATACATGGACCAAACCAGAAAAGAACCATGGAGAATCTGTGGATGGCATATTCTCACTTTCTGTTTTCTAATGGGTATCCTAACAAACAGGCATATTGTGAAAATGGAGTATAATTCATAGACACATTGTTTTGCTAAAAAACTTTTATCCAATTAGAAAAGTACTGGGCATCTATGGGTCAATGACGTGATGCTAATTTTTTGTGTCCATATGTATTAGTTAAATTTTAAAAGTTACACTTTGAAAATAAACTTATCCAAGGACTTTATCCAAAACGTCTATCTTTAATCGATTTTGAGAGAATATTTGGGGGATGATGGCAAAAAAGTTGTGAAACTGTAAAAACTTAACCAAGTAATCTAAAAAGTTGTGTAAAAAAAAGGTGAAATTCTCAATAAAACGTGCTTTCAACTAGTCCGGTGTAATCTTACATTAGAACTATTTAATAGGAAATAAAAGTAACAGAACACCATTGTTCTGAATATTATAATTAATTTGGAGAATTTGTTCAAATTGTGAAATAGAAAACCCTGTGACGGGAAATAATATCAGAGAGAAGGACTCCTGGTGACCCTAACTTTTGCAAGTCAAAGTTAGTAAGTCCAAAATAGCAGATAATTTGACATTTTTAGGGTATGGTTTGGTATTACGACAGGCNACATTTTTAGGGTATGGTTTGGTATTACGACAGGCGGATCGGTGCGGCGTCAGCAGTGATGCGGGCGCTGCATCGGTCTGTCATGGTGAAGAAGGAGCTGAGCCAAAAGGCGAAGCTCTCGATTTACCAGTCGATCTACATTCCTACCCTCACCTATGGTCACGAGCTGTGGGTAGTGACTGAAAGAACGAGATCGCAAATACAAGCAGCCGAAATGGGTTTCCTCCGCAGGGTGGCTGGGCTCTCCCTTAGAGATAGGGTGAGGAGCTCGGTCATTCGGGAGGGACTCAGAGTAGAGCCGCTGCTCCTCCGCATCGAGAGGAGCCAGATGAGGAGGCTCGGGCATCTGGTCAGGATGCCTCCTGGATGCCTCCCTGGTGAGGTGTTCCGGGCATGTCCCACTGGGAGGAGGCCCCGGGGAAGACCCAGGACACGCTGGAGGGACTATGTCTCTCGGCTGGCCTGGGAACGCCTCGGGATTCCCCCAGAGGAGCTGGAGGAAGTGGCCGGGGAGAGGGAAGTCTGGGTTTCCCTGCTTAGGCTGCCCCCGCGACCCGACCTCGGATAAGGAGATGGATGGATGGATGGTTTGGTATTAGGTTTACATGTCAAATGGCATGACCCCAGGAAAACATCAATTTATGATAATTATAAAAATGAGTATTTACTTTAAAAATTCACACCTAGGCCATGTGCTTACATAGGAGTCATGGTAATGACTATAAAATTTGATTTTAAATTGAAATGTCTAATGGTGTAACCAGCTACACCATTTGACTCCTATTACAAGTCCGTCTGTTAGAGGCCAGTTTTGTTAAATATAAGTAGGCTGATTAAATGTAATATAAAGTAATTTACTATGTGGAACTATTTTCAGGAGTCCAATGTTACATTTTTGGAAAAGGTGGTGATTTATTTGCAACTTTATTATCAAAGCTCTGTAAGGCTTGGATAAAATCATTATGCTGAACAACCCTAGTGTTTTAGAAATGTTCATCTTCAATGTATATTTTTATTCCATTCGCTTACAGATTTACGCAGCATATAATGTCATATATGTATGAAACGTCATAATGTAGCAGAATGAAGTGGGTGAACAGTGACTGTTCAACATCTACAGCAGCTTTAAAAAAAAAAAAACCTTAAACTCCAATAATTCAGTGATAGGAGATAATCAGAGAACTGTATAAAATTTGCATCTGTAAAATGTACTTTATTAAATTTCTGCTATTTCATAATTAATATAATGGTGCCTCTTTTCCCCTAATAGATGCTGCTTTCAAGCAGGGAAAAAGTGGCTCGTCATGAGCATGAGTGAACGCTGATCCTGCTGCAAGGGCCAGTTAATTTGCCAAAGGGAGTGAAAGGTAGGTTACGCACATACACAGACACACAAGACACATAGAGACAGAAACACACAGACATGATTTTATCCTGATTCTTTGTTGCTACATATTTTTCTTAACTGAAATCATGACTGAGGTCATGAGTGGATTGTCCATCCAGGTTGGGGATGAATTACTGCCTCGAGCGGAAGAGATCAACTATCTCAGGGTCTTGTTCAAGAGTGAGGGAAGAAAGGAAGAGGAGATCGACAGGCGCTTTGGTGCCACGCTGGCAGTTATTCAGATGCTGTACCATTCTGTAGTGGTAAAGCGAGAGCTGAGCAGGAAGTCAAAGCTATTGATTTACGTCAAACTGCGTTCCTACCCTCACTTATGGTCATGAGCTTTGGGTAGTGACCGAAAGAAAGAGATCGCGGTATAAGTAGCAGAAATTAGGTCTCTTTGCAGGGTGTCTGGGCTCAGCCTTAAAGGTACGGAGCTCAGACTTCTGGGAGGGGCTCAAAATAGAGTCACTGCTCCTCCACATCAATGGGAGCCAGCTGAGGAGGTTCATGCATCTATCTAGGATGCCTGCTGAGGTGTTGCAGAAATGAGAAGGCGGCCCTGAAGAGGGAGATCTGGGCCTTCCTGTTCAGACTGCTGCCCCCACGACCCGACCCCAGAAAAGCGGGAGAAAATGGACGGATGGATGGATGGATGGAATCACAATAGAAGACATGAATTCCTGATTTTTGTTGTTAGATGTTTTTCCTATATTGAAATAAAATAAAACACCAAGTTCAGTTGACCTTGTTGACTTGTCATGCTTGATTTTCAATGTCAATTTCTTCAACAAACAATGGTCTTTGATTGTAGAAGCAACATGCTCAAGTGGTGTAACTGGTTTGTGTCAATTACCATAACCAGTACCTTTCATAAAAATATGATAATATACAGGATAATTAATGTAGAATAAAATGCAATCCTCTACTGCAGTGTAATATGATTTTTATTTTTTTATTTTTACATTTTTTACATAATTTGTTAAAGTGTATTTAGAAAACAGGTGTTTTCAGCATATGTCCTGCTCATAATGCAAAAAACTTAGAGATAAGCCTAATAAAATCTGTTTTTTGTGTTATTTTAAATTGTAATTATGAAGCAATTATTTTACACTCCAAGTGGACAAATTCTTCATATTTCTCATTCTTTTGTGGTTACACTATTTAACGTTTTCAAGTGCATGCAGTCTTAGCTTTCGAAGAAATAGTGCAAAATCATTTCAAATGACATGAAACAAAGATAAATACGGAAATGACATTTTAACATACCTGATGTCCATCCATCCATCCATCCATTGTCCAACCCGCTTATCCTACTGGGTCGCGGGGGGTCCGGAGCCCATCCCGGAAGCAATGGGCACGAGGCAGGGAACAACCCTGGATGGGGGGCCAGCCCATCGCAGGGCACACTCACACACCATGCACTCACACATGCACACCTACGGGCAGTTTAGTAACTCCAATTAGCCTCAGCATGTCTTTGGACTGGGGGGGAAACTGGAGTACCCAGAGGAAACCCCACGACGACACGGGGAGAACATGCAAACTCCA